GAGGTTTCTTCTTAACTTCTTCCTTATGAAACATAAAAAATAACGAACATTTTTTTTTCGTCATCAACTCTATTAATATATGCTTGGGATTTCGAAGGAACCATTTTTGGAAGAACTGTTATACCTAGCAGTAGTTCGTATTAATAGTAAAGCCGTTCCCTGTATTAGAGTCCAAATTTAATTTAGTTCTTACTGTTTTCGGTCTGATATTTGCATTAATAGTATGTAAAGTTTAAGAAGTGAGTTGAAAGAAAGAAAACTGGTTGTTGCAAATTGAACTGTACGCGTACTTAGAAAATTACAATTTAGAGAAAATTAATTAACTGAGTAAATGGCCTGGTACCGACAACTGCGTTTCTGCTTCCTCGCAGGCATGTGGTCTAATTAAACTCAACGTAGTAATTGCATACCTTGTACAGCCGGAGAGAGCAACGATCTTGAAAATTAAATTGTTGCAGAAACACGTTTTAACACAAAAGATGTTAATAAGGATCCAATTAAATTCGAATTACTCTATTTTGTCGTTTTGAACGCAAAGAAAACTTGCCCTGTAGTTTTTATTTTCCCCACTCTGTTTTCCCCTTCAAATTGTACAAATAAACATTTTACTAATGTTCTTATTGTAAATATAATTATATACGAGGGCGGTTCAATAAGAACCCATGTTTGAAGACAGAGGACGTTCCTAAGGGAAATTGGTGTTGTCATCGTGTGCTGCCATCTATCAAACCAAGCCAAAACGAATTTCAGACTGATTGATAAGTTAGTTTGGATTTGGCAGCCATTCGACTGAGACGTGTTTCGTTATTTTCGCTAAGATGGAAAAAGAGCAGTATCGTTCGGTAACTCGCTTTTTGTTTTTGGATGGGAAAAAATGCGAGGAGATGAAAACAAAGTTGGATACTGTTTATGGAGACATTTCGCCATCTACGACCACAGTTAGATATTGCTTCAACGAATTTAAACGTGGGCAAAGATCCGTTTTTGATAGGAGCGACCAGGAAGCCTGGCAAACGTTGTTACCGAGGAAATCATTTTACGGATTTTTTAGGAAAAGGAAGAACGATCACTGGACAATACTACAGTGAGTTATTGGACCGCTTCGACAAAAAATTGAAGGAGACACGGACGCATTTGACGAAAAAGAAGGTGCGTTTTCAACACGATAACGCACCGGCACATTCATCAGGAGTTGTTGCCGCCAAAATGCATGAATTACGTTATGAATTTGCTGCCGCACACCCCGTACTCACTCGATTTGACTCCCTGCGACTTCATCTTGTTCCCTACCATGAAGAAATGACTAGCGAGAAAGAAATTTAGCTCAAACGAGGAAGTCATCGCCGAGACAGGGGGGATTTTGGAGAGTTCGACAAATCTTATTTTTTGGAGGGGTAAAAAAAATGGCAGGGTCGTTGGGAGAAGTGTATCTTTCTAAAAGGGGACTATGTTGAAAAATAAAAAAAAAATAAAAAAAAGAGGTACCTATCTTCATTTCTAACACGGATACTTATTAAACCGCCCTCGTATATATGTACCGATTTCTACGGCGGTCGCCGCTTCCCCCTGCCTAGTTTCCAAATTTTTCTATCATAGCAGATATGCTCCTCTAGATTCCTGTTTTCCATTGCTTCGTTGATATCGTTCCTCCTGCTTCTTCTAGGTCTTCCCCTCTTCCTTCTTTCCGGCGGTATCCATTTTAAAACTCTTCTTGGCCATCTTTCTTCTCCCATTCTTTTTGTATGTCCAAACCATTTCAGTTGTTTCTTTTCTACTTCGTCTATAATATTGTTGTCAACGTCCAAGTCCCTTCTAATAACTTCATTTTTGATCCTTTCGAGTCTTGATCGTCTACAACTCCTTCGTAGGAAATCCATTTCTGTCGAATGTAATTTTCTTCTATTGCTTTTGCTTATATTCCAAAATTTCCGACCCGTATATAATCACGCTCTATATTATCGCATTGTATATTCTATTTTAAGTCTGTTTTCTCATAAAAAAATCAAATCAATTCAGAAAAAAATAATGAAGAACTACACCTAAACTCTGAGCCATCTTAAGTGGCAGTTGAAGTAATAAAACTTCCATATGGTTTGTAAGCTTATTTAGTCGAATAAATAAGATCGACAGAAATAATGAGGACGACCCGAATTTTATTTAGTGACAATGTTAAAGGACAATAACCATTATTGAATTTATCTTTACATCCAACAAAAATGTACTACCTGCGCATGTCTCATTTTTCGATAAAACAGAGTAATGGAATTCGTTTGAATAGTTGAAACTTTCGTGTGAAAATTTTCAAATTATTTTAAGCTTTGTAGGGGATCGTAATATTTTAGCGATTACACATCGAAATGGAAAGGCAAAGAGAAGATGACCGTTCTTTAATAAAAGAATTAAAGTTATGTCACAAATTGGCTGGGTTAGTGCACCGAACAAACGAGCCAGCCCTCTGCGTTCCGAAGACAATTAAGTAGACATTCATCATTTGGTCGTTCCAGTTTGGCACACGGGCTGCACAAATGAACCATGCCAAGCGTCTACCGCGGTCCCTCGGGAAGGAAAAAATCTAACGAGGAGAGTAGTTATTTAGCCGATCCCAGGCGACGACGGGAGTAAACTGAAAAATTAATGGTCCTCCTATCTTTGTCGCCATTATCAGTTTCGGTATCACGCAAGAAGAGCAGAGAAGAATGATGCGTCAACGGATGCTGGAGAACAAGGAACAATCGATACTTCCACTAGCTTCCAAGCTTCAGTTGACGTTAAGATAAACTTTAGTTTAAAATAAATAAAATGTTGTTTTCACACCACAAAAGACAAAACTGCTCCCAAAATACAAGATGCATCTAAATTCGTTCGTATCCTGAGTCAATTAAAGACACTCCTCGTCCCTATTACTATTTTTGAACAGTAGTCTAATCTAGGTCTTCCATTGCCTTTGCCATGTGTAAGAAAGGTAATACAAATAGATTAGTTTGTATGCCAGCTAAACTCGAACGCTTTATCAGTTTCTTTCACGTTGCCACGTTTTAAGAACTGCAGGAAACTATTAAAGCCCAGGATAAAACTTTTAAATTAAATTTGCCCCTCGCAGCAGAAACTGTTAAGTCGTTTAATGAAAATGTCTGATTTTATTATGGATGTGTAGCAGTAGGAGTTAAATCCGTCATCCAAGATAGCTAGTTTGTGAGTCATTACACTTGACGTACAGTGGAATCAAAAAGAAAAGAATACAGGCGAAAGGATTAGAAATCTGAATAAAAGTTTTCAAAAATTCAAATATGATCTTCTACTTCTGCTAACACTAATGGTCAATAATCATTGAGTAATTCATAATAAATTTAGGAAACAGTAAATGCACTATTTGTATGAACTCTTATAAAAAAAAAACTTTTGGGTGTTTCATTCCCACCAGTCAGTAATGCTGGTGGGCGGGTAGTCCCTCCGAACTATGCCGGAAGGTAGGGCGGAAGACCCTCTTCAGTCTGCTTTCAGGAATCGTGGGAATGGGTGGGTGGTGGTTCGGGTGAGAAAGTTGAGACGGACGAAATGAAGACAGAAGAGAATGAAAGATTATCTGTGGAATATTACTGCCTCAGCATTTGCCTAAGTGATCCAAGGAAACCACAGAAAAACTTGGACCAAGGCAGACGGACCC